ATCACTATGAATTGGCCTCCCTCGGTTAGACTTCGTTATAATTTCCAGGCCCCTTGTGGAGAGCAGCTCTGTATTACACCAATTAGAGTGGTGAGTCATATGTCACTGGCCACCAGAGAATTCAGCCTCCTCCACTCTGAGCTATCTTTTACCTCTTTACCTCTACACCTTCAGAGTCTATTGTCATTCTGCTGGTGACTGACAGGTGAGAGTCATCTATTGTTTGTACACCGGAGTCAGGGCTGTGTGGGCTAAGTGAAAGGTCAGGGTTTAATTCAATATTATATTGCAGTTGCAGTCGTCCATCTCCTCTGAACACTTTTAAAATTCTATTCAGTGTGACTAATCTCAGAATGACACTCAAACTTCTACAACAAACAAATGCATTAAAAGGCTTTTCCCTCAGTGCACAGTGAGTAAAAACACCAAAAAACATCCTGTGTTCCTCTTTCTAATTTGTATCAAGCTCTTTCACAGCGATGTCGTGGCTAGGCCCAACCCCCAAGGCTTAATTAGATTAATGGAAGAGATGGAGAGCATCTAATGACCTATCTCCCTGCATCGCTGGACAGCAGAAAGATGGAGAGGCATGAAAAAGTGCATCGAAAACTCCTCCACTCATTCTCCCCTCTCCTCTGTCCCAGACAAGTCAATGATCCTTGAGAACACTCTGAGATACATTACACGAAGCCCACGACTGAGTCAAGCCCCATCTGCATCGCTGCATTTTGTTGGTTGTTCCTCAGCGTGACAAGAGGAATGGAACAGCAGAATATGAGCTGAGGGGGTGGGCGATAGTGGTGTAATATATTCTTAACGACAAGGGAGCGAATGAGTGAAAAATGAAAACAGGAAAATATGCAAAGATAATGAAAATGACAATGAAGAGAGATTTATTAGCTGAAATAGCCACATTCATAGTTTCCCCCTACTTGTACCGTGTTGATTATGAAATCAGCTTAATGTTTTCATGGTGTGGAGTTGACTATACAAATAATTAGTTGTGGCTTTAGAATAGATAATATTGCCCCCCTTTCCTTACAAAATGTGTTGCTTGTTGCTAAATGTAGCATGTTGATTGGTAAGTGAGTGTGACATGGTCAGGTGTGAAAACAATGAGATTTTCCTCGATATTTAGTCAGTGTTGAGGTTGAATGGTGCCCGCAGCTCATTTCATGAACAGTGCTAGCTTGCAGTTTTGTGCACAAGCTATAAAGTCCATAGCCCAGCTGAAATGCTTATAGGTCCCTGATTTAAAATGCTGTATGTTCTGTGCTCACCTGCTTAAATTAAGTAAAGTTCATGAACCGAAGATTCCTTGTCGTTTCCACCCACACACATCCAGGCAAAGTAGCCTAGCTTACTTCAAGGGATCCAAACACAACAATATAAATATTTTTCTCTGATGAACTGATGACTGATGAAGTTGGAAATACTGCCGACTCTGCTGGGACAGCTCTAGGATCACTCCCTAATAAAGTGAAATTTCATCTTCATGTCAGACAGTGAACACCTGCGTCCATCTTGTACAAAGGTTGATGGACTGTGAAAACACCAGGGGCAACAATGGAAATAAGTCCAGGACTTTATCCTTCTATCCCTCTCTCTCTCTCTCTCTCTATCTCTATACTATATACTATATATAAACTAGAAGTTATTTGTTCGGGCTTTTTATAAAAAGAAGAAGGTGTTGATGTGGAGTAAATCACACAGTTCTCTGTGGTCGAATAAGCCTCACTCGGGTTTTGATGATGTTTTGCTGTGTATCGATCTAGGGATAATTTGTGTTGTAATGGTAACTTTATTAAAAGTAAGCTTGGTTTGAAAATATTGTCAAATTAATGACATATGTGCATATCAAACTAAAGTTTGGCCCTGAATCTGTGTTACATCTCAAGAAGCCAAAGATCTGTAGTGTCAACTGAAAGCTGCTGTTCTTCCACTGCTCACTGACGTCGGTCGAATCAGAAAAATTCAGGAGAAAAACAGACTTTGTGAGCTGTGGGATTTGGGTGAAGTGGAAACTGGGTCTCATTTTTTTTTTTTTTTGTACTCTTCAAATTATGATGATTTATGAGAGTTAATTTTCCATGAAAACCCTCAAATGTTCTTGTGAACAGAAGATCAAAAACTGGAACTGCTCTTTAAATTTGATGTGTTCAAGTTTGTCTCAAAAGCTTAGAGAAGAAGGAAAGATGGATTATTCAGTGAGTGTTTAGTCTGGTCCCAGAGTACTATATAGTATTCATTTGTCAGCGATTTATGAATTCTGTTATAAATAATGAAGTTCTGAAGATTTGATTGTGAAAGATGTTGAATTTGCTTCTCTATTGTTGGACTTTCTCTGTTGTTTGGAAATGTGTGTGCACATTCTGATCCTAGCTTGTGTGAATTAATAGTGTCTTGTCAGTTGGGCATAATTCTTTGCATGACACAATAATAAAAACAATGCTACATTGTAGAGTAAAAACTCACCAACCTCCCGTAAGGGGGAGGGTTGTTACTAACTCCTGACTAATCCAAAAAGAGGTAAGCTGAGACTTCGGTGCGTGCCACCTGTTGGGACTCATCATTCAAGAGACCAGATGTTTCTTTGTTCCACTGGACAAAGGAACTCACACTCCACAGTTCCTCACTGTTCACACCTGGGGATGACCCTTCCCCCCACGGACCTTACTGGCCAGCCAGTGTGGGTCAGCATGTGACATGTGACCCCCAAGGGTGTCACCAAACAAAACCAGATCTCTTGTCCCTCTTCTCTCTCTCTTCTCTTCTTGGCTTGCTCTGGAGAGCAGCTCCTGCTCTCTCCTCTCGGCTCCTCAAAGGGCAACAAGGCCCCAGCCCAGGTCAGCCTTGCTACCTGAGAAACCAGCTCTCTCGCCGGCCCGCTACCAGCAGCCTGCAAACACTCTTCTCCTCAACAGCAGCGACCTGCTTCGGATTAACTCAGAGTGAACCGAGTCCTCTTCAGAATCAGCAGCTACGACACAAGGCCAGCTGATTTTCCAAGCAACAGGAGTCATAGCAGAGTTAGCATGGAACAGCTAACTCTGTGAGGAGAACAAAGGAGATAACACCAAAGCAACACAGCCAGACAGGACTTTACTCCACCAGGAAGCCTCCCAACTCACTGGACTTTGCAACAACACTGGAAAGGACCTCTTTGTTTGTTCCAAGGACTGGGTTACGTTAACTGACTGGGCCTAACCTTTCCCAGTTCAGCATAGCACAGCACAGCATAGCTAAGCAGGAGAAGTCTTAACTTTGTTAATGTACTTGTTGATTGATGTCTTGTTGTTGTAATGTTTGCTTAGGTTGTGGTCAGTCATACAGTTAATCGGGTACTCGTATGTTCACACACATAGTAGTACGTCTCAGTTCTAGAACCTGCATGAAGCTAACCTCCTCCCTCTAACCTGGTACCTTTAGATTACATGAGCTAGGCTAACAAAGAAACTCACACCTTCCCTCCCACACACACCAGGTGGTCTCAGCGGCCATTTTGAGTAGTTTCTTTGTTTACTGCCATCTTGTGTAGTCTTCTTTGTTCAGGTCATGTGGTCACAGTGATCACTTTGAATCGGCCATCTTGCCTTTGTTTGTGTCCCCACAGACACACACACATACCCCTACACACACACATACACACACCTGTATATACTAGATTAGACATTGTGTTTTACTCTGCTCCATTGTAAATAAATGCCTTTAAGTATAACTACTGGTGTGTTTAATGTTGCACAAGCATGAATATTGCCAACCTCTACTTTGTAAAATTCCAATCCTTCAACTTTAACTTACTGTTGATTTGGTAATTTGGTTATAGTTAGTAAACTCTAATTGTTAATCAGAGTTCCAGATTACTGGTAATGAATTGAGACTGAAACCATATTGGCTATTTTGCCTATTAATTTAGGCTGGTGCCCCAAGGACTTTAATTAATTTTAAAGTTATTATTTAATATTAATATTTTTAATATTAATATTTTCTTAATTTATGATAGCCAATAAATTGATAGACAACCGAAATCCAACATATTTAGTGTCCAGCTCATGAGGTAGAGCTCAGACCCAACACACCTGTGACTCATAGCGACTCACCCTCAATAATGTATAACTTTAAGCCGTAATAAAATTTGAGTTGTATAAATATTCATCCCTGTACAGCTGCCATGAAAAGGGAAATTAGGTATAGCTAGAGAACAAAACTGTGGGGTTTTTTTTGTTTTTTTTACCAGGCTGTAAACATTTCTGCTGTAAAGTTTGGCATTTTAACTATGGTCTATGGAGACAGACTAACTTTTGGAGCCAGCCTCTAGTGGCCATTTGAGGAACTGCAGTTTTTGGCGCTTTTTCAGCCCCAAAGTTTGCCACTTGGACAAACCTCACTTGTGTCATATCTGAAAATCCTTGTTTCATTAATAAAATAGTAATGACTTGATGGAAATGTCCCTCATCACACTGAGTCATGAATTTTCACTATAACCAACAAAAGTGCAGGAAAAGTGTTGTGTGCATGGGTGAATTTCCTTTGTTTTCCCTTGTCTTGTATCCAGCTGAAGCTTATAGTAAGATGGTAAATGTGCTGCACTGTGTTCAATAAAGTGTGTTGAAGCAGTTGTCACTTAAGAGCATAATAGAGCAATGGTAAGCGCAGTTTGTATGTATGTCACACCTGCACACACATGCATTCTGCTTTAGTGGTCACCTATAAGCCTAATGGGATCTTACATGAGATGGTGATGCGCTTAGATGTTGCTGGAGAGGGTGGGGGCTATTATCTGTGCAACAGCATTAGTGGTGCTAAAAGCAGTAATACCATCAAAGTGGTTATTAGGGTGAGGTGCTGTTAAAGAGGGGGAGAAAAAAAGGTAGACAAGCAGAAAAGGGAGGGTGAAGCCCGGACATAGGGGATCTTATAGGTCCTGAGGAATCAGTACCTGCCCCTCATACAGGCAGCCACTTGCAGAGAACAGTAGATGCACTATTAGGTTTCTAGACATGTTTGGTAAGTTGAAGGGCCTCCTCAGTGGCCCGCAGGTGCCAGCGGCTCCTGGGACCACCAGAGATGCTCCTGACCCAGCTCCAGCTCCAGCCCCAGCTCCAGCCAAGGTAAGACCTGTGTTGTGTTGGTGTTTTATATATATATATATATATATATATAGTCTCAATCTTCTGAAGTTGTTTTTGGATACTTTTTTTCATATCTACTGTCTCGAGAGGTAATTTATTCTTCTGTATTTTTACAAATGTTGATTAGCTTTCATAATGTTCACTTTGTGCCAGTAACAACAGCAGCAGCAGTAGCCAAGACTGAAATCATGGCCACAAAAAAATTAAGTACTGTGTCCAGCATGTAATACAGCAAGTTTTGTTCCATTTGTTTCTCCTGACATAACAGCAGTGACTTCTTATCTGTTCCTCCATCCATTCAGCTGCTCCATGCTGAATGGATTGCCAACAAAGAATCAAATTAAACTGTTTGATTACACAGACCTTATTGAAACCACTCATTGCCCAATGGGCACTTTTCATTTAATTTCATCTCAAACGCTGCTTGTTTTCAAAAGTGTCTATCAGGCAAGGGAACAATTTCTCAAACATTAAATTCGCTATTCCTTAAAAATACTCTTTGAATTGGATGTCTCTCTAATGACCATGGTTTGGGTAATGAAGCCAAACATCTGACTTTGTTGAAAATGTTGAATTATTGTGTAGGAAGAGAAGGCAGGTGATAAGGACAATGACGCCAAGAAAGTGGACAAACCGCAGGGTAAGTAATCGTTCATCTGAGAGGCCGAAATGAAGCTGAATTACTGTACGTCCTATTTTGTTTTGCTTTGGGCCAGATGGGCTCTCTTTAGCTCTCTGTCTTCTGCCTCCCTTGGGCCAAAGCCTGTGGTTAGATACTGGGGAGAGTCTTCCTTCTGGAGCCTTCAGAACAATATGTTGTGTAACTTATTAAAATGCTTCAGTATGTCTCAGGCATGTGTTTTACCAGAGCAGTACCGAAGCAAAAACATGATAAAACACATGTATTTTGTCTCATTGCTTCATGTACTGTTTAAACTGCTAGACACATCATATCCTTCATCAATTCAATATTGATGATGATGATGATGATGATGATGAGGATTGTAATTTTATTTGTATGAAACCTTTAAAAAACAGAGATACAAAGTGCTTTACAGTAAAACAGGAAGAGGAAGGTAAATAAAAAACATAAAAGGTGAAATTACATAATATGTTAAAATGATAAAATGCAAGGCTTTAAATACATGCAATAGAAGTCTGAAGTCTCTTAAAATATGTCAAAAACACGGTGGCAACAGCAGCAGCTGTTTGTACAAGTTGTAATATTTGGTTGTTTCAATTCCTGAGACCAGAATTAAATGCACTGAAAGAGTCAAGTCCAAAGGTAATATAAAGTCTGATTTTTCTCCTTTCTCAGAATCAACTCCGGCCCCGGGCCCTGCACCTGCACCTGCTCCTGCTCCTGCTACAGCCCCAGTTCCTGCTCCAGCCCTGGCTCCAGCACCAGGCCCTACAGCAGCTCCAACTAACCCTGATCAAGCTGGACCTGGAGGGCAAGTCCTGCACCCTTTTTAGTATCCGTAGTTTCTTGTTGTTTTAGCAACGCTGCCATCGACAGTGGCAAGTGTTTTTCTAACTAATTTGTTTTCAGACATTTAATTGCAGAGTGGATGCATTAAATATATGACACAAGCCTATTAAAGCAAGCAGATATATTGCATTATCCCTTGAGTATCTGCCCCACCCCCAAACTCCACTTTAGCTTACCAAAACACACTCCTGCCAAGACACTGACATCACAGACCAGTATCAAATTAATCAGCAGTTGGATGCTAATTAATCAGATTGCTTGGCAAGATGGCAGGGAGAGACAGAGAAGGCCATCAGAGATGAATACAGCATGTGAGATCTTTATCCCCTGGTGCTACATGCATATAAACAGAGGGATGACTGGAAAGTGGATTAAAAGCTTTTCAGCTTTTTAGCTTTAAGAAGCTCACCAGGGCTGCCTCTGGCCCAGTAATGAAAACCAAGGAGGCTGAGGACAAATTCAACTGATCCCTACAGTTGTAAACACATGTAACTTTTTCAAATGAGGAGACATGTTATAAATGTTTTACCAGTGCATAACAAAGGAGGAGCTGTAAGAATGAGGGTACAGGTAGAGGTGTCAGCCATGAGCTTGAGTGACACAAGGAATAAATAGCACAAGATCGTCAGGAGTTCAAACTTGATGTCCCTTGCTGTTCTCCACAGCAGGGTTAGCCTGGTATGGGCTGATTATTGGCATCTTACAAAAGGATCTCAGGTACTTCAGATGAACACAAGGCAGTGTTTGTTGATTAAGATATTATCATATAATGTGTCACATTACAAGAACACTATAAGCAAACAATTACCTGTAGCGGCATCCATCAAGATGTCAATGTGTGCATGTTTTCAGACACTGGTTGTCCAATTAATGGCAGGACAGACCGGATTGGGCTTATTTTGCGGTATCTGAGTCAGACCTTTATTCCAAAAACTACATTTCTTTGAGCTAGATCTATATGGTCTTGGATTGTAAAACAGTAGCTTTGAAAAACACCTCTTACAACTATAAGTTTATATTTTTGATAGACTTAATTAACATTAGGATGTAGATGTCTGAATCTCTGAAGTTAAATTATAGGTTCAATTACTGTAACATCTTTTCCTTTTTTCTTCTCATTTTTAAGGGATGTAGATTTTTCATCGTCTTTTTCATCTGTGACCTTTTGCCTAATTTCTCAGTCTTTGAAAACAACCATATTCTCATGTCTTACAACCAGTTTATTCCATTATAATGAAATCTCTTGTGCAAAGTACTGAACATCTTTTGTCTGTGTTGTATTGAAGATACAGTAAAAATGTGGGCTTACACTTAAAGGGACACAGAGCAGAGGAAAAAGCTGTATCTTTTAGAGCAGGTAAGGGCTGCAGTCGAAAAGTAAAAAAAAAAAAAAAAAATCCCTCTCCTTGACCTCAATGGAAAACCTTATGAGGTCAAGGAAAGATGTGACGGAGAATTCAAAATGAAATGACAACCACAAAGCTGACGGAATCCAACTGTACTTCTTTTTAACTCTTCAACTTTATCTAAAACACTTGGACAATATATACTCCTTTCCAAACCACAAAAACAAACAAATTATATGTTGAAATAAGATAATAAGAAAAGAATACACAAATAGAGAAAGTTGAGACAGTGAAATAATAATCTTTTAAATAAGGAAAAATAAGGAACTGAGGGGCCGGAGTAAATCATATTCAGACATAGAGTTTCTTGGCATGGGTACTTTTTACCTTTTATTTATACATTTGTCAAGTAGAAAAAAATGATTTAGTGCATTCCACAATGGGGGGATTTAGTGAAACAACATTTTTGTATATAGTATTTTGTTATGATGAAATTTGATATGCTTGTTCTACAAGATTCTCTAACTGGAGAGATTTCAAAGAGCACAAATCTATATTTATGGATTTGGAGCTTAGCCAAGCATATGGATTTTAGTTTTGAATGAAGTTTTGGATCATGCCACAAACATGATAGGTGCCCTACAAACATGATAGGTGCCCTGTTGTTCCTACAGCTTCATGGGTCTGCAGGGTTAAAACTAAAAGGGTTTGGTTCTTTAAATTTTGCCGCTGCAAGGAAAGAAGGGACGGCATTAACTTTCGTGAAAGAAAGTTCAGATAAGATAGGAAGCATTGATGCTCCTTTCCTCAGCAGTTAGAGAATTTGACCAGCTCTTATCATGGCTGACACCTAGATACCTCCAGGTCATTTCACTCAATTAGGTCAGTTAGGAGCCCTAACACTTTTCGACTGCAGCCTAAATCTGTGGAAGTTTCCCATATGATTCTGCGACTGATTGCCACAAGAGGGCAGCTGCAGGCTTTGTCAACTGAGAAAAGCATCTCCCTCTCTGTAGAGTAACTTTCTTTCAAATTGTATGAAGAAAAAAAAAACTTCTCAGCACTCAGCTCCACATCAGTGCAGTGCACCAGTGTCAGTGAGAAGTAATTGGTGTCATCTTTTGAGTCGTCGTGCCTTCCTGTTTGTTGTAAACTATTAATGGAATGTTTTAATGGATTCAGGAGCTAATTCAAACACACGAAAGATCATTTCTGTGGTGCTGTGGTGATTTATGTGCAATGACTGGAAACAAATAAGTCTCTCCTGGTTCCTCCTGAACAGCTAGATGTATTATTGATGTTTGTCCACTAGGAGGCGACACATAAACGCAGACGCCACCTTCCTCTGTCTGCTCTCCTGGGGCTGACATTTACTGTGCCTGAGTCAGCTGAGCCTTTCCATTTAAAACTTTATTTTCACAGTCTTAATGTCTTTATTTAACCTGAGAAATCATGTGAAAACCAGTTCATGTGGAGATGAGTGACACCACAGCTGCTGCTTTCATTGACTTCTTCTTCTGTTTAATGTTCACATTAATAAAATCAGCCACAGGAGGGATGAAGTGGGATTGAGTGAGTGAGGAGGGGGGAGCCCTTGTCTAATGGGGTTAGAGAATTGTGTGTGTGTGTGTGTGTGTGTGTGTGTAGTTTGCATGTGAGTGTGTGTGTGTGTGTGTGTGCGTGTGTGTGTTATTAGACAGGTCATTCTCAGTCCAAGTTTAAAATACAATTGAAAAACATAAATCACATTTACATAATAATATGAATGTAACTCAAATGATTGCATTAAGCCTTGTCTAAATAATGGTTTTCATTTTACTTTGAGTAACTATGAAGATTTTAACAAAACAATGTCACACATGTTCATTAATCCACAGAAATCTGCTCCTTATAAACACAGTCTCCTTAGTAGTCCAGTGGAGATGGCTATTTCAATTAAAGCAGGTCTGCTCTCTGTGAGATGATGAATCTAATTCATTTTGACCACATGCCCATAAATTTCTCTGTTTACATTTTTATAGAAAATCGCTCTATTATGTAGATTTCATAAATCATTGTTTAACCAGTCTTCTAATGTTGGAGTATCTGGTTGTTTTTTGTTTTTGTCTACAGCACGGTTGTCTATCAATTTACTTCTGCTATCATGGCTTATGTTGGTGGTCCTATAGGTTTCCCTTCTTCTATTTCCTTACATCTTGAAAAGTAAATAACAAAGGCGCACCAAAGGTTTTAATTGAGCTGCTCAATAGTATAACAGTAGTCTCTCAGATCTGGCATTGTCAGACCTCCTTTGCCTCTTGATAACTGCATTATTTTATTCTTTTTTTATTATTATTTTTATTTGTGTCTCTTTACCCATCCAGATAGACTGAGAAATTAACTTGTTCAGTTATTTCAATTGGCAGGGATGGGAAAAGACATAACATGACAAAACAAACATGTTAATCATCGGAAAGTTTTTTTCAAGAACTTTTTTCAGCACATAAACATCTAGTAAACCATCTGATGTTTGTGAATAGCTGCTCCTTTCTTTGTATTTTCCATCTTCAGACAGGAAGTGGCCCCTTCTCTGCCCCCAGCCATCGTCATCAACAAGTACTCAGATGAGCAGCTCAGAGCCATCATCAAACAGATGAGAGAGAGACTGGAGCTCTACAGGGAGAAAGTGGTTGATCAGTATGCGTCCTCCCCTGAGATCAGCCCTCCTGTCAGTGAGTACAGATACAACATTAGGCTACTCATCTGGATAGACACCGCTCTCAGCTTCACAGTTTTCAAATGATGTGTGTTACTTGAACTTATATATATAATTATATTTCAGCACACTCAGTCTTGATACTGTCCTTTCAGCACCTCTGCTACGCAAAGACTACTACACAAAAGTCATAGAGGAGAGGAAGAGACAAGCAGAGGAGGAACGGATAAAGAAGGAGGAAGCTGAGAAAAAGAAGAAAGAGGAGCAGGAGAAGAAAAAGAAGGAGGAAGAGCAGAAGAAGAAGGAGGAAGAGGAGAAAAAGAAAGCAGAGAGTAAAGATGGGAAAAAAGAGGAGGAGAAGGTAAATATGAAGACCAAGATTATTGAAGCTGCCTGGCGTTTTTTGGACGTTCTGCTGAAGCCGATCGAGGACAGGATGGACGCTGTGCTGGGGATGACCATGGACCCTTTCACAGACCGCCGCTACATTGCCTGGCTGAGCCTGGTGACTCTGGCCTTCAACTACAACTCCTGGTTCGTGACGGTTCGTCTGTGTTTCCCGTACCACAATGAGAGCGCCATCCCTTACTGGTTTGCACTAGACTTAGTGGCTGACCTCATCTACCTCATAGACTCCATCATCTTCCAGCCTCGCAAACAATTTGTCAAAGGAGGAGACATCATAGTAAGTCTGAAATGGTACTAAATGGTGATGGTCACTGAGAATGACCTAGTAAGATGCGACAAAATGACTGTTGGTAGAGGGTGCACGTTCAGTACTATGCTTTGGTTGGCTACAGGACAACATATTCAATGAAAGTATCTATGAGGGATCTACTTTTTAATAATTCTAATGAGAACTTTGATATGAAGCCCGCAGAGCCCCAGCCCTGTCGCTTACCTATGCTCTGCTGTGTTTCTCTTTCTGACTCTCTCTTTTACAACAATCAATTCACAAATTATTAAATCATTTTTGGATACATATTTTATTTTCTTCAAGCATTGATAATGAATTGATCTTAATCATGTGTTGAGTTTTGCCATGCATTATGTAGGCAATGGCATCTATATACCCCTCCCTCTTTGTGATGTTGGCCCTTTGCCAGATGAGGACCTAGAGCACAAAGACAAGCTTTGACTGTGGCTTGGATATAACAAACAGTCAGACTTCAGGTAGACATTTAAATTCGTATGTTGCGGAAAGCAGTTTAGTTTTTGACTATCTTATATTGGACTATGGTACAATGAATTCTGAGTAAATTAAGACTTTTTTTCATAATAAAAAAAATGGCCAACCGAGGAACCACATCTAAGCCCTCAGCTCTGTTTACCCTAGCAGAAGGTGTTTGTCTTAAGGAAGAATTCAACAGTTACAAGAGTGTATGAAGAGCGTAACAATAAAAAGAAAAATGTGATTTGAAAAAAAATAGTTGCAGTTTGTCAAAACTCATTCCCTTCTCATTGCTCTCTCCATAACAATGTTAGCAAACCACATTTTATGAGCCATGTTATCCTGTTTTTTGTTGTTTGGTGCTACTGCTCAGCCCAAGTGTCATTGATTGTTACCATGGTCATGGTAAGACCATGGTTACCACTGGTCTTGTGTTTCTGTCTTAAAATTAGTCAGTATGTACTTTTGTGAAATGGTCTGACTTGCATTGGACAATCTGTAAGTAAAATTAAGACTGGACTAACACTACAGACCAGTCTGACATATCTTTGTGAAACATGCCCCTCATGACCTGGTGTGGTCAAAATATTTTATTCCTTAAAATGCCTTTTTTTTCCTTTTCAGAAAGACAGAGTGATGACAAAGAAAAACTACAGAGAAACTGAGAGATTCAAGGTATTGTAACCTGAATTCTTTGAACCTTGAAACTGAGTGTGAACTGACATCAGTGACCTCATACTGTCTCTCCTTACCAGACAGATATGATGTCCCTCATGCCATTCGACTTGCTCTACTTCAAGTTTGGATTTAAATCCATTTTCAGAGCCAATCGTCTGCTGAAGGTAAATTCACTCATGTTTTCACTTTGAACCAGACAAACATACTGAAGCCACTTTGTTTGCGTGTTGTTGTTGTTGAATCTCTCATTCTTATTTTCAAGGCAGATACATTTTTTGAGTTCAGTGATCGTCTCGAGAGCATCATGGCCAAGGCTTACATCTGGAGGTAAGTCACATAACAGGAAGTCAGCAGCTATGATAATGCTATTATTGTTGTTAACATACACACTTCATACAGTCGGTCATTTATAAGGAGCCTTTAACCCACGAAGGATGGCTTATGGTGGGTAGGACAGGAGTTTCCACAGATTGCGCTGTGGACAGTTTTCACAGGGTCTCTTTCCTCAGTGGATATGGATCATCCACAGAAACAATGACTCTGCTTGTTATTGTTGAATTTTCTTTTTTTAATGTTGTACCACAAACTACATTCATTCACCTCCACTGTATTGGTGAAATATGTTTATTCTTGTGTTGTCTGCCTCTCTATAGTAAACCACTTATATTGTGATTTTCCAGAGGAAACAATAGCTCATTATGGCATCCTGGCAGTTAAGTAGGCACTGAAGGGAATGTGAGCAAAGAGTAACAGAGAGAAGTAATGCAGTAACCTCTTCACTCCCCTGTTAGAGTTATTCGCACCATCGGTTATCTCCTCTTCGTGCTTCACCTCAACGCCTGCTTCTACTACGTGGCCTCAGACTTCCAGGGCATTGGCCAAACTAAATGGGTCTACTCTGGCGAAGGCAGCGCGTAAGTACAGTTCCTCTGTATTCCTGCTTATATGGGACTTTCTATTGCCTTTGCTGTATGATGCACTCTTGTAAAATGACATGTCAATGTATAGATTTCAGTTTTAAGCGATTACTTACCACACAGTTAATGTCAAAGTAAAGTTATCTGTCTCATTAAAATCTCCTCCTCAAAAAGTCTAATCAACCCACTAATGAAGTGCAGAATAATTTCACAATAAGTGAACTACATCTTTGATACTGCAAAAAATTGGTGCTGGCTGAATTAAAAATATGAACAATTTGGTAATGTACCTCTTCAGCACAATAAATCCATGCACTATTGTTCCTTTTAATGATGTTAGAGAAAAGAAATATGTTCATTGATTAGCTGAGCAATTGGTGCCAAATAGTGTGATCAGAGCAGAGGGGGACCTGCTCCCAAGCTACGATAGAATCTGTAACTTCAGCTACAGGAGTGTAAAATGTCAATGTTAATTAATGATCTATGCCTTAATTAGTTATTTGTTAAAAACTCATCCATCTCCAACAGGCTTTTAAAAATTAATTGCTCTCTGTTTATGACATCTTTGGCCATCCAAAGAAAATAACTTTAAGTTTGAATTGTATTGTATGTTCGTGTTTGCTGCTGCTGCAGTTACCTCAGCTGCTTCTTCTATGCGGAGAAGTCCCTGCTGATGATTGCTGAGTTGCCATTTCCAGAGTCCATGTTCGAACAGATCTTTCAGATGACTAACTACATTTTTGGGGCATTCTTTATGTCCATCATTCTTGGCCAGGTAGTTTTTTGCTAATATATTTAATCTTTTTCATGTTTAGTGATGAGTTGGTCTACCTGTTTTTGGATGGCATGTCTGGCTTTATATGACTATTGCCCTTTTCCTTTTTTCTCTTTCTTTTTTTTTGGTTTACCTTTTATCTAATTGTCACAAAGTATTTTTTATTTCTTTCAAGCAACCTAAGTGGTTTCATGACAATTTGGTAGCAAGAGAATAAGGGACTTAAACTTTGTGAAAATTGGTGAAATAACAATTCAATTCAAAGTGTCTGAGCTCTACAGTGATGCGCTCCTCCTGAAACTAATGCACACACACACACACGCACAAACATTCAGTTCTTCATCTAAGAAACAGTCCAGTGACACTGAGTATAGTTTGTGACAGCCACTCTAATACCCCCGCCCTCTCCACAGGTACCTGCGTTCTTACTACTTTGCTGTCCGCAGTCTGATCAACATCGGGGGTCTTAACGAACCCCACACCGTCTTTGAGATTACCTTTCAGATGACTAACTTTTTCACGGGCGTCTTTGTGTTCTCCAGTTTGATCGGACAGGTAACATAGAGACACCTTGTGCCCGTAGCATGAGTCACAGCCTCAGTATCCTCAGCTCATCTGGAATCCTGGTAGAAATTAGCATCTGTAAATCAGTTTGTCATCATCTCTTTTCCTACTGGTCTCATTAATGTAGTGGTGTAGTGATAGATGAAGGAAACCTGTCATGTGACTGATAATCATTAGTCTTAACACCACACCAACACCTCATCATCTGCCATTCCAACTGCTGTTGCTTTTCACTGGTTTCCTGTGGAGTCTTCACTGTCAAACTGCTTGTTAAATGTGATAAGAAATTATTCATTCTCCTGTCTAACTGACAGGAGTAGTCATGAAAGTTACCGGAAGGCTTCCTTATGTTTTATCACCTTACGTCTTGTCACCTCAGATGAGAGATGTCATTGGTGCAGCCACAGCGGGACAGACGTACTTCCGAGCCTCCATGGACAACACTGTGACCTACATGGTGGCCAACCACATCCCCACTATGGTGCAGAACAGAGTCCGCACCTGGTACACGTACACCTGGGACGCTCAGGGCATGCTGGGTCAGTAGACACTGGACAAAGAGCTCTGTTCAATATTTCTAGAATGTCAGAAGGTCTGAAAGGAAACCGCCCAATCCTGATTTTACTTCCCTATGTAGCTCCAGACTGACCTGAAGCCCAGTTTGGCCCCAGAATAATTTTTTTCAGTTTCATCTTGATGCTTCCAGATGAGTCAGAGCTGCTGGACAAGATGCCTCTGGTGATGAGAACTGCCATAGCTGTTGACATCAACCTGGTGACCTTTCAGAAGATTGATCTTTTCAAGGTTCGGTGACATCAGAGAACATAAATAAGGTGAACAGGCAAACTGCAGACATGATATCAGCTGAATATCTCCATACTGTTTCCTCAGGGCTGTGACCAGCAGATGCTGGTGGACATGTTGCTGAGGCTCAAGTCCATCATCTATCTACCTGGAGACTTTGTTGTGAAGAAAGTGAGTCATAGAAATTACAGATACATATTTTAAAAGTTGTTGAATCATTGTTAAAGCACGGTTGTTACTTGAATTCAGAGAGACAGTTACAGCTTTGAGACAAGCTAGCTAATATACTATAGTATATTCATTTAAGACAGCAGAGACTGACCAGAGTCTTTCTTTATTCATCAGTAAGTTTATGTTATTATCATGTGACCTCGCTAGATTTCAAAGTTTAAGTTGTTTGGCATGAATATTGTCAATTCCTTAATTCAAAAACATAGGAACTGATCTTTTGCTTCCCTTCAGTAAATCATTTGTGTAAACATCCACTTCCGCCTCTGCAGGGAGACATTGGTAAAGAGATGTACATCATTAAAAGTGGAGCGGTGCAGGTGGTGGGAGGACCCGACAACAGCATTGTGTTTGTCACACTGAAGGCTGGCTGTGTGTTTGGAGAAATCAGGTGAGATGAAGTTCATGTTTTGTAAGACTGAAAAAAAAAATCACACTGTGATAGACATCAGCCGATATGTTTAATAGTTTTTAATCAGAAGATGTTCACTTATAATCCACTGACAGAGAACACCACCAAGAAATACTGAGTAATATAATGTTGCTTTTCTCTCAGTCTGTTGCAGTCTTCCAAAGATGGAGGAAACAGGCGCACAGCTAATGTCAAAGCACATGGCTTCGCTAACCTCTTTGTCCTGGAGAAGAAGGACCTGTTTGACATCCTTGTCCACTACCCAGAGTCTCAGAAAGTGCTGGCCAGGAAGGGAAAGTGAGTCAGAGGAGTGAAGGCAGAGGTTTTTATCATCAGGCCATCACAGTAGACAGAGGTTGTCTCCTGTGCTGTTTTCTCTGGAGACTGATCACGTCCTCACACACAGTCAATGCCCCAGTTGTTTTTATTATTAATCAACCTACTATTTTTTGCAATTGGTCATATTCTTTATAAAACAACACCATAAGGAATAAGTAAAATAGTTTACTCACACTCACACTCACACTAACAAAAAGAAGAGAAAATCTCTGAAGCTTTGCAATTTCAGATTATATAAATCAGTGTATGTGTGTGTGTGTGTGTGTGTGTGTGCGTGCGTGCGTGCGTGTGTGTGTGTAGGAAACTAATGAAGGCCAAGGGTCCGGCAGCAGCTAAAGCAGAAGAGGATAAGAAGAAAGGCTTGACGCTGTTTAGACCCAAACCAGGGACACCCAAACTGCTGCGTGCTTTTGGAGGAAACATGAACAGAAAAATCATTGACAAAATGAAGGTAACTACACTTTATTTATCTGGCAAATCAAAGTATCTACATCTTCTTCTCTTCTCTTCTCTTCTCTTCTCTTCTCTTCTCTTCTCTTCTCTTCTCTTCTCTTCTCTTCTCCGAGGAATATTTTTAACACAGTAAATGTTTTTGCCTTGTTTTTGTGTTCTTTGTGTTTCAGATGGCTGCTGGTGGCCAGTGAAAACGCACTGCAGTGTGTTTATCTGGACTTTGTTTTCTATATAACTCCTTTTTGGGAGTGAGTGTACGGCTTTATTTTCAATATATTTTGTACTGAGTGTTTTTTTTCTGTTATATCACATTGTTGAGGCAAATGCTCCTGTCATTTCCTAGGGTCAAACATTATTTAATTTTTTTTTGCCTGGAACTACACAAGCATGATTGACCATAATAGGATAACAAATACATTTAAACATATGTTTCCAATTTGATGTGATAAGATGAGCAGTGTTTGAATCCAGAGAGTACTGCCCCTAGTGGACACTGCTGCATGTATACTGTATACATCTATATTTCTTTTGTTTGTCTGCTTTTATTGGCTTTATATTGAGTTTGGCAACCCACAGTAGTTCTAAAAGCCTAGCAAAAATTACCCATCATTCTAAAAACTGGTGTCAGTAATGCTTGATCAGTTTAATCTCTGTCTATATCTGCTTAAATAAATAATCCCCTGATTTCTCAAGTTTGCTTCAGCCTATGAATTGTCATCCTTTGCTGTTTGCTTGTTGTGTATCTGTCTGTCGGCTTTGTGTTTGTACAGTTCAGAGAGAGAGAGAAAGGTGCTCTCTAATCCCATTAGCCAGACAGGGACATAGTGAGGGCTAATTAACTAAGTGGCCTCTGCATTTGTGACTGAAATGACCTCAGTACAGTACAGTACTAATTTTAAAGCAGCTACGTTGATCCCGTTACCACTTCATTACCACATTCACTGGTTATTCCATCATTTAATACTCAGAAACATTACCTGTGAAACTGGAAGTTGTTTTCATCAGTTTCAGTAACTTAAAATCCAGTTTGAAATAATGAAATTATATCCCACCCCCAACTCACTTTCACTAATTGATCTTTTCGTGTGATCATTGATTACACACTTGTGTTAAATATTATAAGGCTTTTCTAAATGGAGCCAGCACTGCCAGAGGACTGCTGTCTTGTCTGGCTGTGATTGGCAGCTGAGGCAGCTGATCTGGTGTTGACTCCAGGAGTAAGAGGAGTGCCCAGAGGGAATTAATGAGTTTAAGATATTTATTTGCCTCAGTCTGTTGTTTGGATGTGAGACGAGCACTGCACAAGGAGGACCTTGGGATTCTGGTTTCCAAGGAGGAGAAGTGGATGGGCAGGCCTGGTCGCTGTAGCCCACACAGAAGCCTACCATGTTCAGCCGGTTGAAAAAGTTGATTACGGCTCCTGAGCCTCCCCCTGCCCAGGCTGCTGCCCCCCCTGCTACTGCAGCTCCACCAGCTAAGGTAAGACCTGTTCTCTTTCTAATATCTCAAATACAGAAACTGAAATTGAAATTTATTTCAGTCTACGATCAATAATTATGGAAGAAACTATCTAGAAAGGAAAAAAGTTTCTTAAAAAACTTAACAAAGATTTCTGCAGTCTGAAAAAGGCTGAAGTTGTTGTTTCCCTTTTGAGATATGACAGTTTGATTTGTGTTTGTTTAATATGTTGTCGCCACACTTCACAAAGGAAGTTATATATGGATCCATAGGCTAAAGGAACAGTATAAAGCTTAATTTTAGAAAATTAGATTTCAGATGTGCATTATGTGTGGCATGATTCCCCAAAATGAATTTAGTCTGATTTAGATTTCAGCTCCTTTTCCTCTGTATTCAAAAGTTGTATCTTTTATATGAAAAATAAATGATGGGCCCAACACTGAGCCTTGCAGAACCCACAAGTAACCTTCAATAATTGCAAGTTAAAATTAAGATATTGAAGATGGAGTGTTAGCAGTCTTAGTGTTAGATCTGGACAAGAGGGATGTTTTTAAAAGTCTTGTTTTAGCTTTACATTTATAAAATCATTACATTTTATCAGTTGCTAATTTGATTTCATACAAATTATTTATGTGCACTGACTGCTCCCTAAACAGCTTTTATACATTTAACCCAAACATTCAACTAGTCAGGTTCTTGCTACTTGCTTGTCACTTGGGCTCATACAGGTACTTTTAAGGTGAGCCATGGCAGGTGACTCAGATCAGTGAAATCCTCTAAAGCAGCTTGGCACTAATGTGGAGAAGATGCAGCTTCAGCAGGGAGGGTGGATCTGTGGATTTACTGTTGCGGTGCTTTTTCAGGGGGCTGAATACCTGCAGTATTTTTCGCTGAGGAAAAGAAGGATGAATTGTAAGGGTGATTGCTAAATGCATTAGCAAATATTTAAATAAAAACTGGTCCTGGATTTATTAAATTACATTTTGGCACTTGAGCAGTTTTGGACTTGTAGTTAACAATATTCATTGGAAACAAAATATATGAGACTGAGAACCTAAGGTTGGGCTTTGCCCTGTTTGTCTTTGCACTTTCATGTGCCTACTGTTACCACTGTTGTGTGTTTACAGGAAGAAAAGCCTCCTGAAAAGAAGGATGAAAAAGAGCAGCCAAAGAAAGAGGAAGAAAAAAAAGAGGAGGATAAAAAGGAGGAGGAAAAGAAAGAAGATGCAAAGAAAGAGGAGGAACCTAAGAAGGAAGAGCCAAAGCCAGGTGAATAGTTTATTTGTTTATTTGTTCTTAGTTTATCTATGTTCGGTGTTATACTAACAGTAATTGTCATCTGCAGGCACAGTCGCATCACATGAAGTGTTACATGTGCAGAAACGTGTTTGGTGTTTGTTTTTGCTTTGCTTTGCTTTGCTTTGCTTTGCTTTGCTTTGCTTTACACAAGTGTTTGAGTAATAGAGTCAGATTGTCTTAGTGTGACTTAACACATCCTCCTCCAGTGTCTGTGATTTTTCTGGCAGATAAATACTGTCTAATAGACCTGTGAACTCCATTAGAGCAGAATACTTACTGTAAATACAGCATCTGCCATACAGACCTTAGTGGTTGATGGATACATTAACACAGACTATTAAACATCATGTCTACTATTTTCTTCATAAACGTAATGCACAGGGGCATGAGGGAACTATCAACAACATATATTGTGTGATGTATGCATTCTACATTTGCACTGTAAAGGCTTGTGTGTGTGTCATGGAGAGTCTTTCAGTGCACATCAATATGACATTTGAGCCTAAAGTTTTACTACAATGATGACATGATGTTCTAATATGCAGAACATGATTCTGTTACAGAGTCTTATGTTGTCTTATTTTATGATGTACTGTTCATTCAGAAAGTCTTCGGAAACACCTTCACTTTTTTTCACATGTTGTTATGTTGCAGCCTCAAGCTAAAATGAAAAACAAACAAACATTTTTTTACCTCATCAATCTACACCCAATATCCCATACTGAAAACTGACTGCAGAGCTAAGATCTGGGGAAGGATCCAAAAAAAAACTGTTGCATTGAAGGAAGAAGCAAAGTGGTCCATAATTCTTAAATAGAAGAAGTTTGGAACAACCAGGACTCTTCAGCTGCCTGCCTGGACAAACTGAACAATCAGGGAGAAAGTTCTTGGTAAGAGAGTTGATCAAGAACGTGATGGTTACTTTGGCTGAGCTCCAGAGATCTGTGTATTGCAAAAGAAAAGGACGACTATTTCCTCTCTTACAACAATGCTAATCTGTAATTCAGAGCTGAGAGGTTTCAGGTTATGAAAGAGAGTCATTGAACACCGGTTTCGTGGTTCGGTGTTTTGTCTTCAGGCCAATTAGGAGCTGACATCACTGTTACATTGTGTTTTCAATTACTTGCAGCTGCTCCTGCTCCTGCTCCTGCTCCTGCTCCTGCTCCTGCTCCTGCTCCAGCTGCTCCTGCTGATCCTGCTGATCCTGCCAATCCAGAAGGGGCTGAGGAGTAAGAATACATTACTACATATTATATTATATTATATTATTATTTTGGGTGCCCCAGACAGGATGAGTAGAGAACTCTAGTACATTACAGAACTAGATCTTTTTGCTCATGACTACAGGTAACATAGCAAATAATGTGCATGACATCATGGGAATGAATACGATTAAATCATAGTCTTCATTTCAAAGATCAGGTGACCGATGGTCAGCTGTTGAGATGTTGAGGGTGAGCAGGTGGGAAATGGCTGAAAGGAGCACTGAAGGTATAAACTGATGCAGTGCTCAGCTAGTGTGTGTGAAAGAGGGGACCAAGCTCCGACATACCTGATTACCTCAGTGGAGTCACTAAAGCAGATGTTCATCAAATCTTGCAGCACATAGTAGCCAGCACAACTATTTGCTTGCAATTCCAAATGTAACACATGATTTTGCATAGTGCGAGATTCTTTATCTCTTCACACACTGCACCAGTCTGTCTCATCTATTTTTGCAAAATAGCAGGTGAATGTTTTCAGTCAATGTGATGGACCTGCATCTCATCTTATAATATCACTAGTGATTGCCATCACCAATATTTCCTCTGTTTTCATAAAGCATTAACAAAGGCACAGAACCTTCCATTGTGGCTCTATGAGACTGGATCTTGATAAACTGGTGTTTTTGAGTGTGCTTTGGTCGCTCTGTCATAAAAATGCTTAATAATCCCTGATCCACTGTAGGTGCGGAACAGTGTGTTAGGAAGAACACAGACTGATCTAGAACATCTGGAAATGTTTGATGCCATAGTTGGTATCAATACTACTGTTAAGTTGCCTGCAGACTCAGCTCATAGTGGATCAGAGATTTGTTGAGGAGAGGATTTTGTTTTTAACATTTACCCGACTACCTGAATCATTAAGCACCATCAATATTATATTATAGTATAATATTAAAGATGCGAGGCCTATGGGACTCTACGGTTAGCAGCTATACAAATAAACCTGACCTGACTAAGAATACCTGACAATTCATGACTCTGATATCCAGGTATGCATGTACATCAGACAGTTATTATAGTTATAAACTATCAGATGTAAAGTATTTCACTTTGACTTGGTGGCATTCAGAAGCTAGAGACATGACTGTTGTTAATATCTGCCACCCAAATCTAAACCTTTGTTTCAGCTCCACACATAAGGTAAAAGTTACATGAGTGTTTTCAGCTGATTGTGCAGATGGGCACTTGGCACACGTCTAAATGGCTGCGAGGTCTGCATTGTTTCAACCTCCCTCTGAATAAATGCAGTGCGTGGAGATACTGTGTATTAGCTTCAGGAGCAGTAGCCATGATTACACTGTGATTTGCAGCCTGTGACTCCTAAAGTAGGAAAGAAGCTTAGCAGATTAGTGTTGTTTGTGACTGAGAACAAACAAAGAGGTAGCATTCATGTGCAAGTGGGAATTGATTTCAAAGAATTTATTTTGTTCTTTGCAGATGATTTTTACACTTTTTTGAAAATGTAGGTTATTTTTGTAGTACCTGGTACTACTGTTTTTTTTATAAAGATTTACCTTTGACAATATCTGACAACACCACTGACAACACCACCTGCCCCTTAGCAGGAGGAACCCTTAAACCTTTAACATCTCCCGTACAAGTTGTGACCCACTCTGACTTCCCCGAACAGGAACAATTTACCAGAGGCGTATCTTGTGTAAAAGTTAAGTTGGTTTTATTACAATAGATAAATAAAATTTCCATAAAATATAGGGATGAGGCAATAAGAAACGAACAATTCCGCTGATGGTTCAATCAATCAGTTCTCTTCACAATAAGGGCGGGTCGGCTCTACACAGCAACAATAAAAATGACTGTGGGAGACAGAAGAGGGAGACAACAGAGCTACCACCACACACATGCACTACACATTAAATAGCATTACACATTTAAATTCTATAGATTTATCGCAATGGAATACATGCAGTGTCACGACAACTATACACACCACTACAGAGTGTCACCCGTGCGGTCCCACCACAAGAAGAGGGCTGTGTGTTGATGCAGACCCAGCCTTTCACAAAGTCAAACTGTAGATACGAAGAGAACAAACATTAGCTTTCATCACCATCCAAAATGACTACGATACAATACAGCAATCATGCTAGAAAATACTAAATGCCTCAAGCCTACAAATCAAAATAAACAACAAAAAAAGCAAATTAACAGTAGAAAACAGTGGCTGGCCTGGTCCAGTCTCTGTGCACCTCTGCCACAGTGGGCGTCAATGGCCACGTCAATCCTGAACCTGACGAACAGGACCCTCATGTCTGCCTGTCACCCCATATGAGAGGGAGAGCAAAGTCGGGAGGAAAGGGGCTTTCCACTGGGGCAACCGGCGTTTTATCACTTCCTGATTGACACCCGGTCACATGACCGCAAACGACCAGTCATGTGACCAAGTGTCAATGACAAGTGTCACATTTTCCCACATTTTGCATGTCAGTAACTGATCCTTGTCTCTGGATTTTATTCAAATTCTGTTCTTTCTGAGAGGTTTAGATAAAAGTGGAAAAGTGTTGCTAATTTCTCTTAACAAGCTAAAGCCTCTTAATGAGCTTATGTAGAGTTGTGTCTGCTCGCTTTTTCTCCTTTAACAGCAGATTAATAGTGACAACAATAACATGAACTGCACTGCCACACAACTACCAATGTTATCCCATTTATTGAAAATCTACTTCTCTTACTGCTTTCTGAATTATTTTCCAGTTCACTTTGCTCTTCTCTAATTTAATGCCACCTTTTCCATGGTATTTCTTTCTTACATCTGTTTTCAGTGAAAATGCCCCTCCTCCACCTGTTGTCTACAACCGCTTCACAGATGACACTCTCAGAACTTTGGTCAAGAGGTTAAAAGAGCGGACAGATATGCTCAAAGAGAAAGTCATAGATCCCTATGCCACTTCTCCTGAAATCACCCCACCTGTCAGTAAGTAAAGACATAATATCTGGAAAGCACAGAGACAGAAAACTGGCTCACAGACATGGAAAAGCCACTTAACCCACCATCACTCTCTTTGTCTGTTTAGCACCTATTCTGAAGAAGGATGACTACATCAAGTTGAAGGAGGAGGAGCGGATAGCAAAAGAAGAGGCAGATAAGAAGAAGGCAGAGGAGGCAGCTAAAAAGGCAGAGGAGAAGAAGAAGAAGGATGAGGAGAAAAGGCTGGAGGCCGAGAAGAAAGCAGAGGAAGAGAGGCTGGCGGAGGAGGCCAGGAAGAAAGCAAAGATCCTCCCAGACATCAGCTGCTCCTGCTTCGATGTCCTACTCCATCCAATCGAGGAAAAGATGGATGAAGTCCTGGGAACCACCATAGATCCTTTCACAGGTAGGTGAGGTCCAAGCAGGCCATCTGACAGCCCAGTTTAACTGAACACATAAACACATGTAAATACTGAAATCTGATTGGCTCTCTGTCTCCAGATCGTCGCTATATCACCTGGCTGACTGTGGTAGCAATTGCATACAACTATAATGTCTGGCTTTGCTCTGCCCGTTTGGCGTTCCCTTACCACACTCCAGCTGCCAACCCCTTCTGGATATTTTGTGACCTCCTCAGTGACTTAGTTAATGTTACTGACATCGTGATTTGGCAGCCCCGACTGCAGTTTGTCAAAGCCGGCGACATCATTGTAAGTCACAAAGCATTCTGCGGCATCACTGTCAATGACCTCTAACCTGTGTCTGCAACAGCCGAATTTTTGGTAGCTTTATGTGACCTGTGCAATGTAACACTGTGTGTAATTAACACAAATCGTCTGTCCACTGCAGAAAGACAGAGCAATGACAAAGGTACACTATCGGAAATCGCAACGGTTTAAGGTGAGAATGTAAAAACACATCCACCTTTACTTACTGTACTTACAGGTTTGAGGTACTTGTACTTTATTCCATTGTAAACTTTTACTCCAATACATGTTAGAGGGAAATTTTGTATGTTTTACTGATTAACCTTTAACATTTAACAGCTATGAAATGTATTTACAGATTAAACCAGTGGTTCCAAGGTTTTTTGGCTTTGTGACCTCTTTTAAAAACAGCAGTCTAATTCAGCATCCCTTGTCACATGTCAGACGTCTGAGTTGTTATCACTTCCTCTAAACTCCTCATATGGTAACATATGAGGTTAAATCAGCTGATATTTCACAAAAAAAGCAACATGAGGGCTTTGAGGGGCCCGATCCCCAGGTTGGAAACAATTGGACTAAACAGTATAAAGAGCAGTTAGAACTAACTCCACATACTGTAAAACAGTAAAATGAAATCTGTACTTTAGCCAAGTGAAAGTTGAAATGAAAGACTTTTACTTGTAATGGAGAATCATAACATTGTTGTACTGGTGTTTTTACTGAAGTGAATAATCATAATACTTTAATCTTTTGAGTCATTGGGATGAAATCCCAGAATTAGTCACTATAACCTCACAGGTACAGAAGTAGTATAACTTGTGTTCTTCCTGTCTCTGCAGACTGATATAGCCAGCATCCTACCCTTCGACCTTCTTTGCCTGCACTTTCAATTCTCCTCCATGTACCGAATCAACCGCTTCATCAGGGTAGGCAGGCAGCTGATCCTTTTTATTAGTAACAATGTAACTGAAAAAAAAGCATACAAAACTTTACATTTCTTGTGTGATTCCTGTGTGTTCCAGATTGAATCCTTTTTTGAGTTCAGCGATCGACTTGAGAGCATCATGGCAAAGGCTTACATTTGGAGGTAAATGCTCATGGATCAATGGAGCAGATTCATATTGGTTTTTATCCAGTTCCCAGTCCAATGTGTGTGAACCTTAGATGAACTGTACTATTTGGTACTGACAGTTTCTGAACCATTTTCCTTTGGAATTTACTTTTTCTTTGGAAGTAGATTCTTTATACGTATATAGTAATTAGTACATGTTAATTACTATATACGTATAAAGATTCTACTTTGAAAATTTCCCTCTACAGACAAAAAAGAAAAAAGAACAAAGATGGATTTTGATGTTTTCACAGCCTGCAAATGTGGTTACCCATGTAGCTTGTTTTTTTTTTGTATTACTGACATTCAAACATATAATTTACAAGGTTGATCAACAAACATAAATACATATTCAGTATTTATACATACACATATGAACTTAGATGCAGATGCATGTGTACTAGGTTCCTACAGTATGTACTGTGCATACACACACAGACTTTGTAGTTTAAGCATTACAATATTGCATTAATCAGAAAAAAAGAAAAAAAACAGAATATGAAACCAAAAAACAAAAGAATACAAGGCTGTGTGATATAAGAAATATAATAACCACTGTCACAAGAGGCTCAGCTGCAGAAACAACTTTAAGGCCCATTAAGAAAAGTTCCCATTTCATAGTGTTTGTCTAATCTATCTATCAAGGCAGAGGATACCTTTATGCAGCCTCTCTAGAGTCTGTAAGTGGTGGGACATGCACTGACAGCAGTCTCTTGCCGATTCACAACGCAAAGAAGGAATTCTATTTGTCAGAGTGGAAGGATCCACTAACATGAATAAGAAAACTAAAATAATATTTCAACATCTCACCCTCTCTTTTTATGTCACTGTCTTTCTGATGCAGAGTGGCTCGGACCACAGGCTACCTGCTCTACATGCTCCATCTCAACGCCTGTGTGTACTATGTCGCGTCACTGCACCAGGGTCTTGCAACAACTACATGGGTGTATGACGGAAACGGCACGGCGTATGTTGAGCTCCCTTTGTCTTGTTGTTTGTGATTAGAATTCATTCTGGTGTTAGTGTTGGAGTTTTCTGTGGTGCTGAAACAGTCTCTCTCCTTGGTACTGAAACACTGACAGCCTATCCCATGCTGAGCCTCTGTCCATGGTTCAAATTTCATGCACAGTTTCTCAATTATTGTGGCCAATCTCTCTGTTTGCCAAATAGTCCACTATATTTACTGACTTAGAGTCATTTTATGTGAGTGTGGCATGTATGAACTATATAGCATCCTCAAAACTCCCCATGATAGGATGAAGAAAATACTTTTTGCTAACAGTTCTACAATGCAATGCATCACATATTATAGGTATGAAAGCCACCTGACAGTGATGACCCAGTTCTGCTATATGGGGAGTAGAGAATTTCTCTCTCTCTCTCCCATCATTCAACAACATCCACATGGCTTTACCATGCTGAGCAAATGACCAAACCTACTAAAACCCTAGAAACCTCCCTAAAAACAAAGTATCTCTGGACATTGGCAGCACAACACCCAAGCCAGGCACACTTACACATGCTTTAAGAAAAGGTAACCTTATCCAGTCTAACACTATGACTGTATCATGATCAGTATTATTAAATATTATGATTATGATCGTTTCAATCAGGAGAGACTAATTTGTGTAAACGAATGAAAATTGCAATCTGCAAAACGAGAGGAAAAGTGAGAGAGTCTTTAGCGTTAGACCCAATCAAGATGTCATCATATTTGAAAAAGGGGGTGAGAGTGTGTGACATATAGGGAAACACCCCATGGTCTAGACACTGATGGTCGTCCTGGAGATAGGAAGCGGAGAAGGTGGTGATCCGAATGTGATGAGGAGTGATGATCAGCTCGGCCTGACTGGATATGAAGACTGGAGGTGGATGGAGTGGAGATGGTCGCAGCAATTTACACTGGTTATGAGGACTGGAGGTGAAAGGGGTCGAGGAGGGTCGCAGCAAACACACTGAAATAACAGCTGACAGCAGGAGAGAGGAGAACCAATTTTTTTGTTTTTTTTTTATTTTTTTTGGCCCTTTTATGCCTTTATTGACAGCGCAGTAGAGAGAGACAGGAAATGGGGTGGAGGAGAGAGGGGGTATGACATGCAGCTGTCCGATGCGGGACTCGAAATGGGGCCAACTGCAGCAAGGACCTTAGCCTCTTAGCCTGCACATGGGGCGAATGCTCAACCAACTGAGCTACTCGACGCCCCGAGGAGAACCAATTTTAAAGTATGACAGGGACAACATGATTAGCTGGTTGAGATCGTGGAGCAATCTGATTGGCTGCCTAACACCTAAAGTCAGCTGATTACAAGGAGTTGGGTGAGAGAGGGCTAAACGAGAGAATTGTGAATGGAAGCAGCATAGACATAGTCTTCCTGCTTGAATTAATGCTAAGCTTCATCTGTGATTCCACATATTTCTCCAAACTCTGTCACAATCTGACTCAAGACTGGAGAAAGAAGGGGACACCACACTGACTAAAAAAAAGTTTCATGTTACATGACTGAAATATATCAAAATAAAATTAAGATGCAAGTTGTCTCTGTCCATCAGTAACCTGGGTCTTTTTTACCCCTCCAGGTACCTGCGTTGTTACTACTATGCTGTCCGTAGTCTGATCAACATCGGGGGGCTTCCAGAGCCTGTGACCACCTTTGAGATTAGCTTTCAGATGGCTAACTTTTTCACTGGTGTCTTTGTGTTCTCCAGTTTGATTGGACAGGTAGGAGGATCGTTTTTAAGCATAAGTTTTATTCATAAGTCTTTCGTGTGACAACTGTCCAAGACCAGGAGATTTGTTGCAGTTATTCAGCCATTTAGTGTTTCAAATTCGTGTTGTTCTTTATCTAGTATGTGGTGTTATAATTTCCCCTTAACCCCTTCCATCTTTCTTTCTTTCAGATGAGAGATGTCATAGGAGCAGCAACAGCAGGTGAGACGTATTTTCGTGCATCAATGGATGGCTGTGTTGCCTACATGAACACGTATACAATCCCCAAGCTAGTCCAGAACAGAGTCCGGACCTGGTACAACTACACGTGGGCCGCTCAGGGCATGCTGGGTAAGTCTCAAAAAACTTTATCCCAAAAATGTATCCAGGTATCCACTCATATCCACTGTCTGTCCTCTCCAGATGAGTCAGAGCTGCTGGACAAGATGCCTCTGGTGATGAGAATCGCCATTGCTGTGGATATCAACCTGGCCACTTTTCAGAAGATCGCACTGTTTCAGGTGACTGAGCATTCACTTTGTCAGGAGTGTGGTCTTACGTTAGAGGAGAGAGACAAAAACAAAAAACTAAACAATAAGCTATAACATGGGTTCCCATCGTCTCGACATAATATACCAAAAATGAATGAAATCAGGAGACTATTTTAATTAGGGCAGGAGAACCAAATGGTGCGTCATGCTGTAGTGTATTATCCACTACATTTCCTTCTATTTCAACATTCTAAATTGTTGTATGTTCTTCTTCTATGTATGTTTTATTCTTAAGTTAAGGAAGGGTGTCAATTAAGGCTTTGTCAAAGGTTTCCTTGAACCACTTATTGTAAGTTGAATTTAAGGAATGTGCCTTAGGAGGCAAAACTGTTTACCCATTGGTTTTCTGTTTGATACGGTACAAAAGACTCAGGATGTGGGAGGTTTATGCTGGCCTAAAAGGTCAGAGGCCAGAGACCAGAGGCCGTAGACCAGATCTTGTCTACCATTTGGGTGAAGGCTTCTTCTTATTGGAAGAAGTGCACATTCCAAAGGTGGGATAAGACAGATAAATAGAGGGGTTTGTGAGACGGTAAAGGAGAGATCTCACATTGGCAGAGATGCTCCAGGATTCGACATTTTTGACACTGTTTCTTTCTTGTAAATAAACTTCTTTTTGATTGCAAGTAAAGACATGTCAGCGGTGATCACTTCTTCACATCAGCACCTCAAGATACCACAATGCGTAGTGAAAATTTACATGTTTTATGGTTCTTGCACATTGGTGTGGCAAAATGACTCGACAGAACCCCCTTTAAAATTTCAACGAGGCCCTTCTTGCCCATGTGGTTTCACCTACATGCATGAAAATCTGTAGGAACATAAAACATGCCAAGGCGTACAAAAAAGCCTCTTGCACCCATAGCCTAAACCAAATAGGAAGTCTGCCATTTTGAATTTAATTTTTGCAATTTTGGCGCTGTTTTTGCAATTTAAAGGTCATGTACTTTAACAAAGTCCTCCAAGAGAATTAAGAGATCAACATCATATTTGGTCAATCTTATTTTAAGACCTTTGCGATGTTGCAAAGCTTTTGAGTTTTCATTGGAGGACCTGTCCGTCATCATTTGATTTACATGAAATTTTGATGGTCTGGTTTACACTTAATATTAATTAACATAATGCCTGAGCTTAGCATCTGTGCCAGGGCCCGCATAATGCTGCTTGCAGCTTTAATTTGGTTTGAATTGTGAACTAAAGCATTTGGGCCGTACATCAACATGAAAACAGAGCAACAAGTATTTGCAGTATTGCTAAATACTGAGTGACACATTTCAGTGAATGGTTATCAATAAGATTTTATTTTCATGCATAGGCACTAAATGGAGCCTTCAAAATCTAAGTCACTTTAGCTGCTGGAGAGAAGGTTAAATCACACAGAGCTAAAAAACTAACTGTGAACCTCATACTGTCTCCTCAGGGTTGTGACCAGCAGATGCTCGTGGACATGTTGCTGAGGCTGAAGTCAATCATCTACCTACCTGGAGACTTTGTTGTAAAGAAAGTGGGTATATACTGTGTTTGCCTGTGTGTGTGTGTGTGTGTGTAAAGGATACACTTTAATGATCATCATGAAGCAAGCACCCAATAATCTAAGCAGAGTTTCATTATGTGAGAGAACTGCTGACCTCTGTGTGTGCAGGGTGATATCGGCAAAGAGATGTACATCATTAAAGGTGGAGCGGTGCAGGTGGTGGGAGGACCTGACAACAGCATTGTGTTTGTCACACTGAAGGCCGGCTCTGTGTTTGGAGAAATCAGGTTCGTGTGCAGGAGTATTTAGTGATCTATGACCACTGGAACCTAATATAAAATGACTAAAATCATTCAATAGGTCTCATTAGAATTTTATCATTCAATAAATGGTTACTTATGGATATAAGTGAAATTCTTATAAACATTATATATTTGTTTCAGTTAAATCTGATGCAGTCATATAATTCTTGTATGAAACAAAGCTAATTTACACTGAATTTCAACACCTAATTTTTACCTTTCCAAGTCAGTTTGTAGTGAGCAGATGTGATAATGAACTTTCAGGCTGCAGTCCTACCTTTGTTGTAACATATGATAGAGATGCTAATTGGATCAAGGTCTGCATAACCTAAAAGAGAACCTACATCATGCAAACTCAATTCTGTGTTTTGAACAGTATCACCTTAACAAAGATGTTATGTTGTACAGTCTGTTTGTTATACAGTCTATTCAGAAAGTGTTCAGACCGCCTTCAATTATTCACATTGTTATGTTGCAGGCTTATGCTAAAATAAAAAAATAAAAAAATAAAAAATATTCCCTTATAAATCTACACTCAATATCCCCAACCCTTAACCCTGAAACACAATTTAAAAAATCTGTGAATCTGCAAATGTATTAAAAAGAGAAAACTGAAATATCACATTCACATAAGTATTCAGATACTTGAAATTTAGCTCAGGTGAAGTCCATTTGTGTTAAATTCAACTGATTTTACGTGATTTAGAAAGACACACACCTGTCTATACAAGGTCTCACAGCTGACAATGTATAACAGAGCAAAAGCCACGAGGAGAAACTGTCTGCAGAGCTCAGAGACAGGATTGTGTTGAGTGACAGATCTGAGGAAGACTACAAAACAATTTCTGCTGCACTTAAGGTTCCCAAGAGCACAGTGGCCTCCATAATTCTTAAATGGAAGAAATTAAGAACAACCAGGACTCTTCTTAGAGCAGGCTGCCTGGCCAAACTGAACAAGCAGGTGACAAGAACGTGAAGGTCACTTTGGCTCAGCTCCAGAGATCCAGAGAAATAGGAGGCACCAGAGCTTAATTTTCAGTGTCATAACAAAGTGTCTGAATACGTAATATGCATGGTTAGTGTGATATTTGCAAAAAAGCTCTGTTTTCACAGAATTTTTTAGCTTAAAGGATTTACCAAAAAAAAAAAATGAAAAAATTAAAGGGGTCTGAACACTTTCTGAATTCACTGTGTTTCTCAGATGAGACTTAAAAATTTCCAAGCAAAGACAGCCGGTGATATTGGACATGGACACATGGTTTATTTCTGTTTCCACCCCCAACAGCTTACTACAATCTGCTAAAGATGGAGGAAACAGGCGCACCGCTAATGTCAAAGCACATGGCTTCGCTAACCTCTTTGTCCTGGAGAAGAAGGACCTGTTTGACATCCTTGTCCACTACCCAGAGTCTCAGAAAGTGTTGGCCAGGAAGGGAAAGTGAGTCAATGTGCTTGAGCAACAGTTACAGAAGTTTTCTTGTGACTATGGCTGTTTTAGTCAAGAACTGTATGAATTGATTTATCCTGCTAAAAAACTGAGTCAAATCCTTTTTACACTGTATAAAAGACTACATAAAAATGTAACAAGCAGCCCATAAAGGATCATCTCTGTGTGATTGTAAAGGAAACTGACCAAAGCCAAAGGCCCAGCAGGTGCTAAGGCCGAGGATAAGCCGAAGGGTCTGACTCTGTTTGGACAAAAACCACCAACGCCCAAGCTGCTCAAAGCCTTCGCCAACCTCCGCAAACTCAAGGTAAAGTCGCCTTTATTCATACATAGCAATAACTAAAGACACAGTGATGACTTTGGGTCCAGTTATCTCATCACAATAGTGAGTAAGTGAGCGTAATGTGCCCTGCTTTTGTTCTTTTTTTTTGTCCACAGAAAATTGAAGCTGAGAAGAAATGAGAAGGGGACGTGTGATAAAACCATATCATTCTGTGTAATCCACTGTTCACCAGCTACTGAAAGACACTACTACTAAAGTCAGATTTACAGGCCAAAGTGGTTCAGTTGTTTGTTTTTATATGATCTGGCACTCTTCACTCAAACATCAGCGGACACCAAAAAGATGTTCTGAAACCAGGCTGCAGAAGCAGAAGTGAAACAGGACTGTAGTTATAATCTAATGATATCCACCTGTAAACGTTTTTGTAGACTCTTTAATAGGGACAGAAGTGTCTGTTAAGTTTCACCTGATCAGTGCCAGTAGCCAAATCGGAAGGATAACATTATGTTTCATGTGTGTATTGAACAATATTGTAAGCTGTGCATCATTTTTCAAACAAAAATGTTTACTACAAATGTGTCCTCAGTTTTATTACTAAAGGATGAGCTTATCTCCACCTCAGACTGGGATCCCTGCTGTAGTCAATTAGTTTGGTGCTCCCATGGCTAAACAGCCAAAGAGTGCCACCTACTGTCATGAAGCTGTTCAGCTGACAGATGATCTCTGGAAAGCACATGAAAGAAATGATGGTCTCAGTGTTTACAGTACTAAAAGTAAAACTGATTAGTCAGTAATGTTCAGACCGTTCGTCATTGTCAGATTAAAAATGAGGGCAAATGCTGGTTGCAGACAAACATCAGGGCACAGACGCAGCATGTTGTGTCAGTTTATGGCAGAATTCAGAGAGAAGCATAAATTTGAAATAAGATCAGAGAAATGGTTTATGCTGTTGATTTTTTTCCGACCTGAAAACTTGTCATCACTGGAATCAACTGTAACTGACATGAATCCAAACTGTGCACAGTGTGTGTTCTCCAGGAAGAAGCACAGTACAAACTTTGCGCAGACAACTTTCATGTCTATATGAGATGAGTGTTTCATTTGTGTTGGGTTATGACTTTAAAATCTCACTTCTCGCTGAAACAGTTCATGCATCTCCTTATTCTTCGATGTCTGCAGATTCTTATTTTGCTCTCTTCCATCTTTGTAAAACACTTGGTGAACTGTCTTCGGATAAATCCGTGTGATTGTAATTATTCACTTGGTAACATGGTTAATACTGTTTTTCATGGTTTGGTGTTTGAAAGAACTGTGTCCACACCAGAAAACTGAGCCAGTCTGTAAATACATATTATTAATAACATCTCTTGCTTTTTGCAACACATGCAATTTAGGGTAAAAATCTGTCAGTAAGAATCTCTGAGGCTTGTGAAACTAACAAAAGAAGATTATTTTTTAGAGGTAAGCGTTATAACACCTGAGCAGTAGGAAGCTCTGAGTCCATTTCACATGATAAAATACACATAAAGCTACAGAAATATGATCGCTTATTAAAAAAAACTGTAACATGATACACAGCAAATAATAAATGGGAAAAATAAAACATGTAGAATAGGCTGCAAAATAAGGCATGATATACACTGTTCAGCTTCCTGCTCACATGCACAAAACTGCAATTGGACATTTTCTCTCAATATACAAATAGCACAGATGACTAACGTGACTATTTATGACCTTTAGTTGGGTTTTGGATTGAGAACATTTGAGACATTGGTCGTCAACCCCCCTCCAGCTGCTCTGTGTACTCTGTGACAGAGCACATTTTCAGCTCTTCACAGCTGTTTCATGAGTCTCTATCCAGGTTCTCAGGTTCTCTGCAGTATGCTCGGCCTGTGTTGCTGAGTATATTACACTGGAAGTCTTTGTGCACAAATAGTTGTTTAACTCTGGAGCTTCCAGAAGATTATCTGTCTGTCTTCTCCACCTGTGATCACTGTGCTGCACAGATCATTCATCCATATGGCTGTGACAGCACCTGGGCAAAGGAACAACATCTTTACTTTGACCTGTTGCACAAACTGATAATCAGTTCATTTCTGAAAGAGACACGTTTTCTGTTTTTTCAAGCACAAACTACAAATATAGAGTAACACCTCTACCCCTTAATCATAGTTTTTTCTACTGACATCTTCTGCATCATACATTGTGTGTGACTAGAGCACATCTAGTGGGAATTCCACTGGTCTGGTCTCTAGCCAGAGGCCACTGATGCTGTTGTCTTGTAACGATGCGGCTAAAGCTTCAGAATTTCAGGCAAGAAATGCTGAAAAGTTGATGGAGAAAAAATCTCATCCAGCCTGTCTCTTGTCTTTAGTCATATTCAAAACCAATGACAACATGCAGGTAGAAGGGATACAAGCAGAATCACATACCTGAGGCCATACACACATACATACTGAGACAGGCTGTGAACTGTCTAAAATATCATCTTATTTGTTTTGGTTTAACAGTGAAAGTGTCTTACAATTCATTTGATTTGACAACAGTTACACTTAAAAGGCTTAATGTAACACTACAATCAGTGACCCAATGTAAGAAATAACAGTGCCACTTTACAATAAGACTACCCTTATAAAAGATTTATAAATGGTTTAAAATTAGGTTATCAATTCGATTGTTAACACTATATAAATCATAAATAAATAATTATAAACAAGTTATAACAGAGTTTTCATACATTGATTCGGGCTCACTATTTGGCAAGATCAAGTTAATGCTTACTATTCATTCATCTTACTAATGAGTTACAAACATTTATAAACAGGTAAAAGGGTAAAATCAGTTACTATAAAACTCCTTTTACCAGTTATAAATACTAGTAACTCATTAATAAATAAACTGTGTTATAACTTGTTTATTGTTGTTTATTTATGATTTATAAAGTGTTAAAAAACAAATTAAAAACCCAATTATAAACCATTTATAAATCCTTTACAAGGGCAGTGTTATTTTATAGTGGTACCGAAATAAGACATACACAGACTTTCAACCAGGTGAGGTGTTGGATGGTAAGCTATACCTGAGTGTGCAGGGATCCTCTTGGTGACTGTGTTGCTGAGTAGGTCCCACAGCAGCAGGTCACCAGACTGTCCCCCACATAGCACTGAGTTCCCATCCCAGCGGAAACACCTGAGGACAGCCACACACAGAAGACTGGCCTTTTAAATGGCTGACACGTGTACAGAGCTCAGTTCTTCCAAACTTAACCATGAGTCAAATTAAAAGTTATGAAAGTTCTGTAAGGAATCAAACAAGATGTATGTGTGACTCTCAGGCTTTCTAAGGCGCATCGCACACTGTGACCTCTTGCTCTGTGTAACTGTAACTTGAGGTGGGAGCCTTTGCCGTTCTGCAGGTGGTGTGATCGTACCTCTGCTCCTCCTCAGGTGTTACACTTGAGATCACCATCCCTGTCTGGACATCGATAACCTTCATACAGCAGTCAGCACCAACACTGAGAACATGTCGGCTATCTGAGGAAGCAAAGAATGAAGTCATTACCCCAACATCTTTCAGGGTTTCCAGGTCACTCGAGGGTTTTACTGTCAGCTGTTGGCTTGATTTGCCATGTGTCACATCTCAGCTTTGTTCATCCAAAAAAGCGTTGATTTATTAGATCATGTTCAGATCCTAGATCATTGTCATGATCAGCTGTTTCTTTGTTTGCCAGGACAGACACTGTAAGTTATACCAGGCATTTATAACCCAGTTTCTCTGTTTTGGAAGTAAAGGCCTGTATGACCCACACAGATGAATTAATCAAATTGCTGCCAGCACTTAAAAAGCGTTTGTAGGTACAAAACATTAAGGTGCTTAAAGAGCAATGCAGAACCAGTTACTGTGTTCTGTATTCACCTTTCAAGGCAATTGTTCTTTTCCTCCATCTGAAAGGCAGTTTCTGGGGTCTAATGAAGTCCAGAGAACCAATCAAGAAGCCCAGTCATTGAACTGGAAACCTTCCAGCGTGAACCAAGACCATGTGTGTGTCTTTAAATAAGGTTTCTGCAAAGGCATGCCTCTATCATTATACCCTCTGCCATGGCTGACAATGTAGATTACATACAGTTATATAACAGTTTCACATCAGGCTGAATTTTAAGAATCATGGTCTAACTCATACCAGGACTAAACGCTGTGTGGTGAATTGTTCCAGTGTGGCAGTGGACTTGCTGCAGTGTTTCATAGCTGCTGGTGTCCCAGATTGTGACGGTCCCGTCTTTACAGCCAGACACCAGCAAAGTCCCAGCTGGATTCAGACCAATGGTGTTCACCTGAGCATGGGGAGGGGGCACAAAAGCAACAGGGACATACAGAACAGAGCAGCCAGGTTAGCTCTTCATTGTTCTTTTCATACTAATGTGTGTGAGATGCATAATGCTTATCATGGCTACCGGTAGAGGCAAAATTAAAATATTGTCTCCTGTTATTTATGCAAAATGTTACATGGAATAATACACCTCACTCTTTTGTCGAAAAACTCGTATATACAGGTTTTTGTCATGAGTATAATACACGTCAAGTGAGCACTGGTCATCTGATCATGCTGAGCCCACAAGCAAATTGTATGAAGAGAACTGCTTCTTTTGCTTGCAATCTGTTACCCATTTACATCAGACAGACCAAGAGTAGATTTTGTTATTATTGTTTATTATTTTAAATGAAGAGTTATTATAGTTATTTTAACTATTTCTGTATTTGGGTTGTTTTGTTATTTTCTGCTTTATTGATATAGTGTGATTTTAATAATTTTTTCATTTGTTGTTTCATTTGTTTTTGTGTGTGAATCCCAGGAAGACTAGCGACCACTGTGTGGAAGGTAACAGTGATCCAAATAAAGAATTAAGAATAAAGACATAACTTGTGTTTGTGTGATCTTCATTGCCACCACCATGTTTATCTCTCAAGATGACTTGGTTTTAACTCTTTTGGGTGGATTTGTGAAAAAATGTGTGACATTATTCACTATTGCATTTTTTTTTTTTTTTTTTAAACAAGACTAAACTATAAAAATTACATTTTCAGTTTATGATTTATGATAAGTCATCACCACGTTCCATTTCCTCTGTATGTAGCCAGTCAATAATATACTGTAAATATATAAAATATAAATTAAATTTCATCCACCGGTGATGCAACTTTAAACAAAATTCCCACACATGTAACATAGAGTTCACACCCTCACTCACCCCAGCATCATGCTCCAGCTCAGCCAGCAGCTCAAACTGGCATCTCCTGTGACTGGAGGAGCCATCAGACGCACACTGCCAAACCTGGGAGAAAAAAATAACACAATTCACTGGTCTCATTTAGATGACCACAGTATTTAAAAAAAAAATGTCAAATAAGCTCCAGGGTTT